ACGGGACTGCGCTTGGGGAACCCCCTTTTTGTTCAGAGACAAGATCCCGGGGCAGGGGGCTGCGTGTGGGCATGTGTGGAGCTGTGTCACGCGTGGGTGCCTGTCTGGGGCCGTGGGTGTGTCCTGAGTGGGTGCGTGGGGGGTGGCTGTGTCGCAGGTGGGTGCACGCGTGGGGCTGTGTCCTGAGTGCGTGGGTCTGTGTCCCGGGTGCGTGCGGGGCGGGGCTATATTGTGTGTGTGGGGGGAGGAGGCTGTGTCGCGAGTAGGTGCGCGGGGCTGTGGCCTGCGTGGGCACGCCGGGCTGTGTCCCGCATGACCCCGTCCCCCTGCATGTGTATGACCCCCGCGGAACGAGCGCTCACCCCCCGTCCCCTTCCCACGGGGGTCCCCGCGGCTCCGCGAGGCGGGGATGGACGGCGCGGGACGGGCGGCACAAGGACCCGGGGCGGGCGGAGGGGCGGGGCAAGGACCCAGGGAGGCGTGGCGCGGCGCTGGGGGGGCGTGGCCAGGGGCCGGGCGGGGCGGGGCGTGTCCCGGCGGCGATGGCGTCGCTCTTCGGCGGCGTGGAGGGGTGAGCGGGGTCACGCCGCGGGGAGGGGGGGGTTCCACGGGGCTCTACAACCCCCACCCCGCGCCCCGATTTCCCTTGGGGGCCCCCAGACCCGGGGGGGCGCTGCGGGCCGGGCCCCCCATCCCTTGTCCCGCCCCCCCCCTCCCTCCACCGGGTACCCGCAGCCTGGGGGGGGGATCAGGGACCCAGGTCAGTGGGGCGGAATGAGGGGGGTCATCCCCCCCCCCCCCCCCCCCCCCGTCCAGCGACCCCCACCCTGGTGCGCCCCCCCCAGCACCCCCAAGATGCTGCAGAGGGTCCCCGGGGACGTGCGGAGCTGAGCGGGGGTGTCGTGTCCTCCCACCCCCCTGGCACTGGGGGGTGTTGGGGGGGGGGGGGGTGTATTGCTCTCAGGGTGTCCCCCCCCCCTTCTCTCCGCAGCGGGGGCACCCACTCCAGGGTGGTGCTGGTCTCCGGAGATGGCCGGATCCTGGCCGAGACGGAGGGTCCCTGCACGAACCACTGGGTGAGCTGGGGGGGGGGACCCCCCCGTACCCAGCCCTGGGGGGGGGACACGGCGGGGGGGGGGCTGGCCTTGGTTGTCCCCAAGCTCCCAGGGCGCTTGGGTGGGATGAGGCCACCGGGGAAGGTGCTGGTGGCCGTCGGCGAAGCTTTTGGCTGTGTGGGACCCCCCCGGGGATGGAGCCGGGGGGGTGGGGGGGTTTAGCGCGCGTGTGTGTGTCCCCCCCCCCGCCCCCCCGCCGCCGTCTCTCAGCTCATCGGCTCCGAGAAGTGCGTGGAGAGGATCGAGCGGATGGTCAGCGAGGCCAAAAGCAAAGCGGGGGTCGACCCCCACGTCCCCCTCTGCTCGCTGGTGAGTGTGTGTATGTGTGTTGTGTGTGTGTGTCCCCCCCCCCACCAGCACCAGCAGCCTCCCCAGGGATGCTCCGGCTCCGTGTCCCCCCCCTCCCGGGGGTGACAGGGGACCCTCGGGTGCGGGGCAGGGGCTGTCCCTGAGCGGGGGCGAGCAGAAGGACGCGGCGGGCACGCTGACGGAGGAGCTGCACCGGCGCTTCCCCCGCCTGAGCCGGCATTACCACGTCACCACGGACGCCGTCGGGGCCATGGCTACGGCCACTGACCGTGGTAGGGGACAGTTCCCCCCCCTCCCCGGCCCATGAAGGTGGTGGTGGAGGGGGGACACGGGGGGGGGGGGGTGTGACCGGCTCTGACCCCGCAGGCGGCATCGTCCTGATTTCGGGTACCGGCTCCAACTGCAAACTCATCAACCCCGACGGGTCGGAGACGGGCTGCGGCGGCTGGGGACACATGATGGGTGACGAAGGCTCCGGTGAGGTGTCGGGGGGGGGTTTGGGGAGGGGGGGACACACACGCACACAGCCTGCAGTGGTTGGGGAGGGGGGGGGGGGGGTCTCAGCCGGCTCCACACTCCCACCCCCCCCTCCCCGCAGCGTACTGGATCGCTCATCAGGCCGTGAAGATGGTGTTCGACTGCATGGACAACCTGGAGGTGCCACCCCACGACGTCGGCTACGTCAAGCTGGCCATGTTCGACTACTTCCAGGTGCTGTTGGGGGGGGTCCCAGGGCTTGGGGGGGGGGGCTGGGGGGCTGGGGGGGGTGTGCTGGGGAGCTCTGGGTTGCACAGTGGGATGGTGGGGGTCCCTAAGGGGCTCCGGGCTGCATGCCGTGCTGGTGGGGTCTGGGGGGGGAGCTCTGGGTTGTACACTGGGATGGTGGGGTCTGGGGGGGGGGGCTCTGGGGTGGGTGGTGGCGGCCTGGGGGGGCTGCAGGGGGGTGTGTGTGTGTGTGTCCCCCCCCCACGCAGGGAGCTGGGATGCAGGGCTTCACCAGTGTGTGTGTGTGTGTTTCCCCCTCCCCGGGCGCTGCAGATCTCCGACAGGATGGGCCTCCTGACGCATCTCTACCGCACCTTCGAGAAGTCCAAGTTTGCGGGGTTTTGCCAGAAACTAGCAGAGGGTAGGGGGGCCCCTTCCCTGGGGGGGGGGGGGGGGGCCAGACCCCCGGGGGGGTGACCCGTCCCTGCCGCCCTCGCTCCCCACCTGGGGACTGTCCCCCACCCCCGGAGCCACGCTGCACTGCTGCTCCCCCCCCAGCCCAGTTTGTGGGAGCTGGGTGTGAGCCCCAGCGGGTGCGGGGGGGGGGGGGGGTGTCCTGGGTCCTCATTCCGTGTGTGTCCCCCCCCCCTGAGGCGCCCAGGCTGGTGACCCGCTCTGCTGCCACATCTTCAACAAAGCCGGCGAGGTCCTGGCTCGCCACGTCGTCGCCGTGCTGCCCAAAATCGACAGGGTGAGAGCTGGTGGGGAGGGGGGGGGGTACGTGGGGTTAGGGGGGGGAGCCCCGGTGCCAGCTCTCACCCTTTGCCCCCCCCCCCCCCACATCACAGAGCCTGTTCCTGGGGGAGCTGGGGCTGCCCATCGTCTGCGTGGGCTCCGTCTGGAATAGCTGGGAGAGGATGCAGGCGGGTGAGCGGAGGGGTGAGGGGGGGGGTTTGGTGGCGGGGGGGGGGGGTCCTGTGGTCCCCTGTAACCCCAACCCTGCGGGGTGTGTGTGTGTCTGTCCCCCCCCCCGCAGGGTTCATCCAGGTGCTGGCGCGGGCGCGGGAGGAGGCCCCCGGCCGCCCCTTCTCCCGGTTCAGCCTCCTGAAGCTGAAGCGCTCCTCGGCGCTGGGGGGGGCCCGCCTGGGCGCCCGCAGCGTCGGCCAAACTCTGCCCTTGGACTACGCCGGCAACGTGGACGTCTTCTACACCCACGTCTTCTAGCCACGGCCCCCCCCCACCCGTGCTCCCCGCTCCCCGGGGGTGGGGGGACCCTCCGTGCGTGGCAGCGGGGCTGCCGGCAGAGGAGGATTTTTTTTATTTTTTTTTTTTTGTAGTTTGGCAATAAAAAGGTTCCACCGCCCGAGGGGAAATGGTGGCTGGGTGGGGGGTGCGCTGGGCCGGGGTGGGGCTGCTGGGAAATGGGAGAAAAAAAAAGAATTTGGAGGTTCCCGTTTTGGTGCTTGAGGAGGGTGAGCCTGCTGGTGTGGTGCTGGGGAGGAGGAAGAGGAAGAGGAGGGAGGAGGAAGGAGGAAGGAGGAGGCTTTTGGGCTTGCAGAGCCAGGGTGCGTGAAGTCGGTTGCGGGGAGCATGACAAGGTTCGGCCCTGGCCAAGGGGAGCTTCCCCGGGGCTGGTCTTCATTTCAAAGGGAAAAAAAAAAAAAAAAAAAAAAAAGTGGAAAAAGCCCTTTTTCATCAAATCACAACCTGGTTTGGGCTGGAAGGGCCCTTAAAGCCCCCCCAGTGCCGCCCCCAGCCCGGGGTGCTCCCAGCCCCGTCCAACTTCTTTTGGCTTCTTTTTGTTTGAAGCCGGCAGCCAAGGGCTTGTGCCTGACCTGGAGCACAAACCCAAAAGCTGCCCCCTCCTTCCAGGAACGCTGGACGGGCCCCCCTGCTGGGAATCCTCTCTCCTGGCTTTCAAATATATTCTTTATAAATTGTAATTTCTCTGTGCCGAGGTCCTGACCGGGCATAAACGGGAGCTGTTTCCTCCTCCACGGCCAAGCTCAGCCCCGGCCTCGGTGGAAGCCGGCGGAGCCGAGGGGAAGGGTGCCACCACCGCGGGGGGAGGAAGGAGGAAAATCCCCCGGAGCTTCGAGCTGCCCCTGAACCTGCTTGAGGCGAAGGGAGAATGGGGGGAGAATGGGGGGTGGTGGAGGCGGTCGCTGCCCTCCCCGGCTTGGTGGGGGCGAGGAGCCTCCTGCAAGGAGCTGGATGGAGTCACCCCTCCTCCAAGCAAGACTCCTGCAGCGCTCAGTTCCAAAAGTTTATTTTTAATAACGCGTTGTCTGAAATTTACAGCATGTCAGAGGGGGGGGTGGTGTAGTTTTTTTCTCTTTTTGGGGGGTAAGAAATCAAATAGAAACCAGAGAAAGGGTGTGTGTGTGTGGGGGGGGGGGGGGGGGGGGAAACTGCGCTACCCCTACAAAAGTTTTCCCAGCGTGGAGCTGCCCTTCCCCACGTCCTGCAGAGCCCTGGGCACGGCCTCGGCGTGGGGGGGGAACCCCCCCGGGGGTGGGGGGGGGGCTGCGCAGGCGCTGAAGGCACGGGTTGTACCCGAGAAATGGGAGAACTCGACCCAAAGCAAGCCATCCCTCTGGGCAGGAACAGGTAAATTGAAGATGGGCACCTTCAGCAGGCTGGGTGGGAGCTAGGCAGCCGGAGGCGGGAGAGCTGCTGAGTTACGGAGTTAAATCGGGAAAAAAAAAAAAAACAAACCAACCCCCCCCCCCCCCCTCCTGCTCGCTGTATAACCCCGGGCCCACCCACCACCCACCGCCGGGCTGAGGGGGACAGAGCTTTTGAGTGGCCCTTGGCTTCCACCTCTGCAAACCCCTGGGGGATCCGTGAGATTTACACGGGGGGGGCAGAAGCTCCCCCCCCCCCCCCCCCCCCTGCTGCTACAGCCAGTATTTTAACCATCAGGCTGCGCGCCTCGCCGAGCGGCTTTCTCTGGGCACAGATTTCTGCCCCTGGCTCTCCACAGGAGCCCCCTAAGCGCAGCGTTTTAAAATCCCAGAAGCGCCCAGGGCTGCGGTTTAGGGAGCTGGAGCCCGGGCAGCTCCTGCCGAGGGGGAAGGAGGTGTGTGTGTCCCCCCCCCCCCCAAGAGCAAGTTCACCCCACGCAGGCACGGATCCTGCTCGCCAGCAGCTGCTCCGGAGGCTTGGCCTGGGCTAACGTCACCCGCCACCAGAGCCTCGGCCAAGGGCTTCGCACGTGGGTATGCTGCCCACCCCCTGCTCTCTCTACGTCTGTGGGTGCTCCTCGGGGCCCGGACTCACCCCGACAGAGGATCCTTCTCCCAGGGAGGCTGCTTGACACCGACTCCCCGCTGCCCCACGCCTGAGAACAGGCTCTGCGCCATTTTTCTGGGGTTTATTTTGATGAGAAATGAAGGTACAGGTGCTTCAGAGCCGCAGCCCGTAGTGCTGGATAAACTCAAGAACTGGGGGGGGGGGGGGGGGGAGGGCAGAAAAATTCTTTAAGGAGAGGATGTTTTGTAGGAGCAGCCCCTCCCCTTGGGATGGACGGCTGGGGTGATGGGTGATGGGTCTGCTCTCCACCAAGAGCTCCTGCAACCGGTTAAGTGGGCAGGACTCTCACCCACCAGCAGAGAAGCGTGTGAGTTAGTGTTCAGCACCTATCGGAGAGCTGGGGCAGGCTGCTGCTTGGAGGAATTTAGGGTTTACAGTCTTGTTACACTTCACCTTCCCTTTAGCGAAAGAAATCCTGTTTAACAGAAACAGGGAAAGCCAGCGCGGCTCCCGGCCCAGGCTCGCTGCCTCTGGGGAGGGAGCAGGCGGGCAGGGGGATCCCTACAACTCCTACTTAAACAAGAAAACATGACTTTTCCACTAGCAGGTTTGAAGCACGCGTCAAAATGGGCCTCTGAAGCAGGGGGAGCGCTGGACTCCAGGACAGACCTAAGGGCCGCGAGTCCTAGAAAGCAACAACTGCCAAAAAAAAAAAAGGTGATAGATGATACAAAAGAAGAGTGTGAAAAAAACGAAAAAAAAAAAAAATAAAAGGAAAAATAAGAACCAAAAAAAAAAAAGGTACTCGAAGCGTAGAGCAAGATTTCGCCACGTTGCAGCAACTCTGCTACGGTGCAGAGTCCAGCCGGGGGCCGATCCCCTCCCTCCTTCCCCCCCGGCACCTTCCCCCGGAGCAGGGACAGTCTTTCCAAAGCCTGCCTTGATGCTCAGTACTTCACGCCGGGCACAAACTCCTTGGCATCTGGATTCAAGTTGCTTTGCTCTGGAAGAGAAGAGGGGGGGGGGGGGGCTCTGTCAGCACTCCAAATGCCGACAGCACCCCCCTTACCTTTAAGCATCACTCCACGGTCCCTCCCCGCCCCGTGCCCTCGGCCACTTGCTGAAGGTGCTGCCACGGATGTTCACGCGTGGGAAGGGGCTGCCCCTGGCCCTCGTGTCCCTCGCAGGCACCCGCAGCGCTCGGGATGCTGCTGAGCGAGCGCCAGCTCGGGAGGGTCTCCTCCCGGGCTGAGGTTTTTAATGGGGTGGGGGGGGGCAAAAATCTGCTTTTTCTGCCTCTCCCTGTGCTCGCTCCGGCGGCTGTGCTGCGAGGGGCGAGCGGCTGGTTTAGCCCCATGCATGCTAACACACACAGTCAGCGGGGCCTGGCCGGAACAACCCCCCTCCGTGCTGGTCCACACAGCCCTGAGGCATGTTCCTGCTTTCAGGGGTGAAAACAGGCATTGCCATAGCACCGCTGCTCCTCCAGCCACCCAGCAGGTTTTCAGCACTCTAAATGAATCTCTATCGGCTCGGGGTGCTCAGCACCCCCGGAGCAGACCTGGTGGGTCCTCCTGTACCTCTCCAGCCCCACCCAGGACACCCCGACACTGCCCAAAAGGCAAGAAGGGGCCCGGCTTGCTCTAGGACCGCAGCCCAGCTCACGTGCAAGGGGCAGCCCCATCCCACGGCTTCTGGAGAGCGAGTTCTGCAAAGCTGGGTACTTTTGCCTTTAGGATGTGCGTGGCTAAAACAACTACCCTGGCAGAAAACTCCAAAATGCCTCGTCACCCGTGCATTATCACCAGCTCTCGCACCGACACCTCGCTGCCACTCAGGAAACCCCCCAAGGAAATCCAGCCCCGCTTCGCAGGACGGGTCCTCTGCTCTTTTGCCAGACCTCACAGCACGTTGTTCCCCGAGGTCCTTACCAGGATGTCCTCTGAACTGTGGCCGTCGCCCACCGAGAGCCCGTTCAGCTGCTGCTGCAGCTGCCCCATGCCCTGGGGCAGGTCCCGCGATGGAATGAACCAGTCCTGGTCTTCTTCCTCCAGCATCTCCTGGAAGCAGCGGTCGAGAAACTCCTGCTCCTGCAGCTCCTCCTCCACCTGCCCAGAGAGACCCGTTAGTCACAGGTACCAACGTCTTGGTGTTTCCCACGTGCTGTCCCCACCCGGTGAGAGAGTCTGCAACGTGCCCCGCCTCACCTCGGCACCTGGCCGTGCTTCAGAAGCGTCGCAGGACAGCCAGGGCTGTATCTGAAACCTAGATTTGCCGACTTGCCTGTAGCCAGAGCACAAAAACCGGCGTCTTTTGAGCGGAGCAAAGCCGTGCTCGGGCGTCGCTCCCCGGCCGCTGTGGATGCCCGGGGAGGGGGGATGCAGCCTGCGAGCTCAGGGCACCAGGCGAATCCAGGAGGGAAGGGGATTAGGATTTAGGGGACACCCGGCTGCGTCGGCGCACGCACGGGGTCTCGGGTTGGCAGGCTCCGGCGGAGCTCGCTGGAAAACGAAAGGGATGGCTAATAAAATCACAAGCGGGGAGCAGGGCTGGGGGGAGCGTGCTCGGAGCGCTGCCGCAGCTCTGCCAACCGTCCTTGCTCCCCGGGCTGCTCCGCTTTGATAAATCACCCCTGCTCAGCCCTCTCGGCCGACCGCTGCTCTGCCGGCACCGACGCAGGGTGGCAGTCGGCTCCCGCCGAGCGCGCCGCGGGTGAGGCCACCTCCGCTGCAGGAAAACTCCTCCCGAGGCCGAGGAGAGCCACGGGATTTGGCTCGGGCTCCTGGAGCAGAAAGCTGCTCAGGCAGGGGTGCGCTTCAGGCAGGAGGCGGGTATGAGGGGGGAGCTGGGGGTCCCGTCCTCACCCCCGAGGAAGCGCGTACCGTCAGCGGGCCGCGCTAACCAGCTGCTCCCACCTTCCAGGCCGGTTTTCTCTGGACGCTGGCTGGAGCAGAGCGAGGGAGGCAGCGAGCTGGGCAGCCCGCGCCGCCGCCGGCCTCCTGCTAAACAGGCACGTGGTCGCCAGAAAACGAGCAGACGGGGCGACGGCCAGAGAGCGGCGTGATGCTGAGCAGCTGCTATCGAAACCGAGAGGGCCGGGGGAGTCCGTGAACCACAAAATGCTCCGAAAAGCTGAAATCCTTCCATTTTCCGAGCAAGCAGGAGCTACAACCAAAACGGGCTTTCTGGGGCGGGAGGGGGAGAAGGGGAGTTCTGCCTGGCACCGTGCCCCATACCCAGCCCCTGAGCTGGGGACGGGCTGGCAGCCCCTGCCACTGGTGGGCTGCTGGGCTCCCACTGCCCCAGCACGGCGGCTACCGAGACCCGTCTGTCACAGGCGGCCTGGGAAGGTGACCCTGGTAAAGCCACCACGCCTCCAGGTTATTCACAGCCAGTCCCTGCTACATTTTAAATCACACTCCAAAAAACTCTTTGTGAGGACTAGATGACTTTTAGGACGGGGTGATCCTTTAAGGTCCCTTCCAACCCAAACCGTTCCGTGAGCGTTAAAAGCTCTCTCACAAGAACCAAGCCTTAGATGCTGCCTCCGGCCTCAGCTGCTGGAGAGCTTCTTGCCACCAGCCTTAGAAATCAGGTCTGCTCAGGGGAAAATCCCCTTTACCGCTGGCAAAACTTCCCATCGCTGTCCTCAATCGGGATTCCAGAGGCCGTGCTTGAAACTACATGCTAGCATTAGCACATGAAGACAGGATATTTAAAAAAAACCCCACCCCGGGACTGCCGGCTCGCCCGGTAGGTGACTGCCCTGGGATCCTGCACACTGACGGAGCGAGCCCAGAGCTTTGTGCATCTCGCAACACTACAAGCCCAAGTGAATATTCCCTCTCCTCCGAGTACTCTAACCACAGCCCAGCAGCATCTCGTTTCCCTTCCCAGCCTTTTCGGAGCACGCAGCTCCTTCGCACTGCACCGTGACAACCTGTGCTAGGAAAGAAAGGGTTTATTATTTGCTCAGGGCTCTGCTTTGGCTTCCTGTGGTATTCAATGCAGCTCTGTCACCTCCCACCCCAGGTCCTTCTCCACCGACCTCACCTGCTGTCGGCACAGTTTCTTCTCAGCACAACAGCCCACCACTCCCTTTTTGCCCTCCGGGACGTGCTGGCTCCATGGGAAAAGGTTCGTCGTTCGCATAAATAAGGGAGGACCGTGCCAAGCAGCTCGTGGGTTTCTGAAAACACCCGCCTGTTCCCCTCGCTCAGGGCCTGGGCGGCAGAAAACCTTTGCGGAGGGAGGCAAGGAAGCAGCGTGGCTTCAGCAAGCTGAGGAAGAGCCAGTGGGTCTGGAGGAAGACTCAGCCCCAGATCTTACAGCAGCCCCCCAGCCACCGGGGCGTGCACATGAAGGCGGGAGAAGCCGCCACCATTGCCACGGAAAGGGACGTGCCTGCCGTCCCCCACGCTGTGCCCCCCCTCGCCGGCAGCTCGGCCTCTCCCGGGGGGGACACTCAGGAGCGGCTCAGGCCGCGGAGCAGAAGGCAGCCCGACGAGAGACACGAGGTGCAGCATCCCGAGCCCAGCCCCACGAGCCCCAGGACGGCTTCTGCCTTCCGACCGACACAGATCCTGGCGCGGGATGGCTCTCCCTCCCCCGGCCGGCACCCCGCCAGCAGACACCCCGACTTCAAAGCCCTTAAAGAGCGACTCCAGCCTCTGTACTGAACCATTTTCCCCCACTCAAGAGTTTCACCGGGAGCTGGACCAAGGGCTGAGCGCCCAGGGCATCGCTAAGGGGCTGGGAAGGGCAGAAGCAAGGGCTGGCACACCAGGAAAGCAGGGGTGAGTATCTCGGTGACACAGCGCCCAGCACAGGGAAGCCCTGAGGCCTTGGCTCCATTTTCCTCCCTCCTCCGCCTCCCTCTGCCAGCGCATGCTTCCCTCCGCCCCGGGACGCTCCCTCGGGCACCCAGCTGCACCATGGTTTGCTTTTGCACTTTGCCTTCATCAGGCTTTTAATCAAGGCAGCGCTTTACGGACATTAACTAATTAATCTCGCACATTTCCATCGGGGCAGCAGCTGCTTGTGGGGGCTGGCTGCTGCCTAATCGCGTCATTAAATAAAACAAAAGCCTTGAGTCACGGCGTGCTAACAATCGCTAGTGTGATGGGGGGGGGGGGGGGGGCGGTGCAAGGCGGCTGCTGCACACTCACCAGGAGTTACTGTCAGCGACTGGCTGCAGTTTCCTCCTGTGGGAATGAGACTTAAGTATTACCATATGGAGATTTTCTGCTGAGAACACCAGTAAAGCTGATGAAATCCTCCTTTGGTGACCAGGGGTGCGGTGGGGACATGGAATCCCCCTGCCCAGCCTGCCTGCAGCTCCAGCAGACCCCTCCCTACCTGTCTCCCAACAGCCCAGTGCTGGGAGGGTGCTCGGACGTTTCAGGGAGGGGACAAGCGTCCAGGAGACTTCAGGTTCTCTGCCTGTTGCAGAGCTCAGCCAGCTAAAGGGGCAAGGTCCCTCCTCGCCCAGTTCAAGGTCTCTGACTTCCCTCCAGCTACTGGGATGATGGCGGGAGGGACCAGCGAGCTCTTCCCTGCTGCCTGGTGCTGCCCTGGCGTTTGGGTGACGAGCCAAAGCAGAAGCACGAGGAGGATGCTCTGCGGCTGCTCCCTCTGCTCCAGCTCGCAGGGTCGCATCGTTATTCCACAAGCAAGAGCTGTCCAAGCCCCAGCACAATCTACCAGAAGCTCCCAAGAGCTCAGCTGGCCATTACGGGCACGGCAACTCGTGGCCAAGGCCCTGACCAAGTGGTCCGGCTGCTCCGAGCGTACTCAGCACCATTTCACTGAAATTAAGACTTCTACCTGAAACGAGAGGCGCTGCCTGCCGGAACTCACTGCTGAGATAGCTAGGCTACAAATGCTCTCAAATTTCGAGCACTGATTTTTATGCTGGTCCCCTCCCTCCAGCTGAGCACGCAGAAAGGGAAGGTCTCAGTTACCACAGCAAAGCACAGGAGAAGACGACAGTGCCGTCGCCGTCCCTCTGAGAAAGATCTGAGAGGGTCAAAGGCACGGGGAGGTGGTTTTTTTTCTGACTCTATCCATCCCGTGTCCTTACACACAGATCCAACATAAACAGGATGACTCTTCCCTTGAGCCACCGTCTCCGTGCGGGGCCCGCGCCGGCTGTGACTCACGCACCCGTCATGGTGCCCATCAAAGGAAACCTTTCCCTCCCCTCAATTTTAGCCGTGGAAACGCGGAGCTGGCCACCACCCTCCTGGTCTCACCTGTCTGTTGAAGTCCTCTTCGTTCTCCATCCACATGTACTCTGCAAAGGGGTTGTTTTCCTTTTCATCGTGGCCATTCACTACTTGGTCCTCTTTGGATTTGGGACTGGACGCCGTCGTACTGGCGAGGTCGGAACCATTCATCATTACTGACTCTGGGAAGAGAAACACGGGGGGTGAGGGAGCTGCCGGGGACCCCCGTGCCTCCCGACCCACGCCAGCCACCCAGCTCCCAGAGGGACGCTCGCCACCGGCCGTGCTGATGGGTGACAGCTCAAGGCTTCCAGCACACAGCTCCGCCTGCTTCCAGGCTGCTTTTTTTCAAGGCATGGGGCTATTCCCGGCTCCTCTCCTCTCCCTGAGAGTGCTGGAAGCAGCACTACACCGCCCTGGCAGTGGCAGCATTTATTTCTTCAAGGTTTTGACCCATCAGGGATAGGCTGATGGTGCTTGGTCTGGACTTAGAGCAAGGAGTGAGTGACCTGACCAACAGCTCCTGGAGAAGTTGTGAACAGGGCTTGGACAGCACCGCCACCCCAAACCCTGTCCATCCACCACATTTATTTGAAATCTGCCACAAAAATACACCAAAAGACCACAACTGGGTTACCACTACAGTCAACACACCAACACCACAGAACCAGGTTGCCCCTTTCCCCAAAATAACCAATTTTTTGGCAGACCATACGCACGCCAGCTCGCGTCCCTTTATCTCTGCTGTAATTTCTTTATTTTTAGAGGGCATTTCGCAAAAGCCTGTTGGTTTGCGACACGAAGGCTGCCTTTTTCTAAAGCAGGCATTCAGAGTCCCAGTAGCGTGGCCTGAAGCCAGACAAACCTTACAGAGTCCCAAACCTCAATTTCTGAAAGGCCCCCAGGAGCAGATGGAGGGAAGGACACACAGACAGATGGAAGGACACACAGACAGATAAATGAGACAGTAATTCAATAGGAAAATCCTCCGGAATAGCGAAACATGGATTAAGGCCAGCACAACCCTGACGAAAAATGTCCAAACATCACATAAGGACATCCCAGCTGTATGTTTTACTCTCCCCGGGTAAAGGTTTTATCTGGAACTGTGCTGGACCCAGCTCCAGCGCAGCGCTGGGGCACAGAGATGAACTGGAGGGCATCCCGCAGGAGCAGGGGCTGGAAAACACGATTTCTTGGGAAGACCTGGCAGAAGAGAAGCGGGTTGGTTTGGTCTCGAGGAGGATGAGAGCTGGGGAGCCCCGCACAACAGCCCTTTAGGTACAGAGGGAGGTTGCAGAAAAATCAGCCTTTTGTCCTTGTGGATACAGAGGGGGTTGTGGCTTTTGCGGCAGTAGCAACTGGAATTGGAGGGGGTTGAGGTTGGGATAGTGACCGTGGGAACGAATGCCCTTTGCAGGGGGACAAGCCTCTCCCCAGAAATTTCAGGGAACAGTGCGTGATGGGCACCACGGCTGGTCCAGGTATGCCTAATGTTATTTTAAGAACACGAAGAACAAATTAGATGATCTCTCAGAGCGTCCACGAGGCCCTGCAAGGCTGTGAGAGCAAGCAGCACCCCCGCCGAAGCCCGGTCTTTTCTGCCTCCATCCAGGTCAGGGCTGCTGTCAGACCTGCAGCCCAGCAGCCGCTCCAACCACCCGGGAGCGGAGATCCCACGTTACTCGTTAAAGGCAGCCGCGTTTAGGGGCCAAGCAGATTATTCTCATTTTTGGGAGGAGTCCCAAGCACACCGAAGTACACGGCAGCTGTCACATGTTACTCTCTGAAAAGCATCCCCGCCAATAACAAAGGTGCTCAGCCCTTGTGTGCTGACACGTTTGGGTCCCCAAGAGCGGCACAGCTTTAACACAGCTGCTCCTGGGGGGAAAAAAAAAAAGGGGAAAAAGAAAAGGAAGAGCAGCAAGGTGGTCAGGCTGCCTGCAGGCTCGGGACACAGAACCAGGCCACACTGAAGCAGCCTCTGTTATCTGCAGAGAAGTGAGAAAGGCTCCGGGTTAAGCACAGGAACTTGAAGTGTGCCAAAGCCAACACAGCAGCTCCCCCGCCATCAGCCAGACCTACTGACGACAGCCCAGGTCTGGCAGGAGTCGCAGGGCAGGCGGGAAGGGGAACAGAGCTGCAAAGCAAGCGAAAAAGCACGAAAAGTTTGGATGGGGGAGCTCTCCTTCCTTCCCTGCTTGCTTCTCACACCACCAGCACAGCTGCTGGTACGGGCAGAGCCCGGAGCTCACGGGCCTGGGAGTTTTGAGGAGCTGGTGGGGTTCACAGTTTTTACGTACGGCGTCCAGAGCCGGGTCCTCTGCGCGGGCGGGAGCGGTGCTGGGTCGAACCGAAAGTCCTCCCGCTGCCCTGGCGCCGAGCAGGCAGCTGCTGCCCAGGGATGGAGCGAGGTGCCTGCGCTGGTCCGGTGGCTCCCTACCAGCCACTGCAGAGAACGGCTTCGCTGGAGAAGCAGCACAAGAGAGGAGGGAAGGTTTTTTTGAATGTTTAATTTTATGCTTAAAAAAAAAAAAAAAAAAAAAAAAAAAAGCTTCCTCTTCGCCCAAGACTTCACACTCCTTGCTAATCCGGCTGCAAAGAGACCTCGCTCCCATGGTGCCGGCTCTTGGCAGCGCTTTGCAGCTCTTTCTGACCAGCAAAGGGGGTTTTTCCCCGAGTGTTTGGCGTGGGTGACCCAGGACCCACGGCACGGCCGTGGGGAGCCACGGGTGGAGGAGAAGCAGAGGAGGGCGGCATGCTGTGGTTTGGGAACAGAGACATGAAAGGGACGGCTTGCGTCTAGCTTCCCTTCCAGGTTTGTAAGGCAGCAGGAGGACTTTCATCGCAGTTCCCGTCGGCAGGACAGGTTTTTCAAGCAGCCGGTGGAGCAGCAAAAGGCAGCAGCTCTCAGCACAAACAGATCGCAACAGCGGGGCAGCCCCGAGCGCTGCCAGCATCCCCAAACCCCGCAGAGCCTGCAGCCCCGCAGAGCAAACCCAAGGGCTCCCTGGGGCAGGCAGGGTCTGGGGACGCCGGCTGAGCGAGCCCGGCTTCCCGATTTCAGCTTCCACCAGCCCGAGATGGGGGCCGGGGGGGAGCCGGGACCCGGGGGGAGAGCAGCCCCGGCACACCGGGCACCAGCTGCCGTGCTCCCCGGGCTGTGTGAACACGCCTGCTGCGTCCCAAAATCAGAGCGCAGGAAGCGTTTGTGCCTCCACGTCACGGTCCATGTCACTTGTTTACTCTGTCACCAACAGGTCTGTTTTTTTTTTTTTTTTTTTCTCCCCTCCCCCTTCATTTTTATAAACACACAGGTGTCCACAGCCCCATTCCCAGCCCCACTCCGTGCCCCCCACACTGACTGTGGAAGTTATTTCACCGCTGTTATCACACCCATTTCCCTACCACACTACTCCCACCTCTTCTGTTAGATTTAAGCCATCCCAAAGCTTCCTGAGCTGTCCCCTGCCTGCTGGAGCCAGAGGTTTCTGCTCAGAAAGGGAGCTGGGTGACACTGAAGTGTCACGGAGCGAGATGGGAGCCCACCCGCAGAGCCATGCCCCTGCGCTTTGCTGGGAGAACCAGCAGGCAGCAAGCAGCAGGGGCTCCCCGCCTGTGCATCCACTGGGAATATTCTGGGTGAAAAAACTCACCAAACAGGGAGACAGACGCCCAAATCTCCCGTCGGTGCTGGCTGATACAGCGGCGGGTACCCAGGGGCAGAGGTACGCACACAGACAGCGGCAGCACGGGAGCGACCTACGTGAGGTACTGCTTCAGTAGCCCAAACACGAAAGGGAAAAACCAAACCCAACCAACGTGGTTTTTTATCTCCCATCTGTCACAGCCGGGTCTGAAGGACTCAAGGTCGTGGTTTTCCCCTATCAGCTGCTGCTCGGAGCATGCCAGCAGTCCCTCACAGCAGCCCCGGCCGTGCAGAGCCATCCCTGCCTGGAAAAGCACCTCCCGAGAGTGTATTTTCCAGTCTGGCCAAGCCAGGCTCAATGTATGTTTTGGTCTGCGTGTTATTTATCTGAGTCACTGGAGCAGCGCTGTAACCGTCAGCCTGTTGATGCTCTACCAAGTACGCCCAGAGCCAAGGTAATTTTGATATATCGCTGAGGCGCTGCAGCAAGCTTACTGCTCTGAGACATGGCTCTCCATTAAAACTAAAAGAAATTTAAAAATCTGCTTTCTTATAACGAAGGCTTCTTGGTTTTGTTTTTCCTTTCCCCTGGAAAATTAAGTAGATTTAAAAAAAAAATAAAAGGAGAAAAATTAATCTTCAACCTGGGGACTGAATGCTCGGAAAATGCATCCAGGGCACACAACCCATCTCCTGAGCGCTGCACGTCCCGAGCTGGAGCACGGCAGATCCGGAGGAGCTGCGCCTGCAAGGCAGGGAGGCAGCCTGGGAGGCCCCTGTCTTCACAAACATCATCATCACCACCCGTAATGCTCCCACACTCGCCCAGGGCTGGATCAGCAGCCTGGCAAGGCAGGTTTGCCTTTGGAGAAGGTACAGGACAGCACGAGGTGGGAAAAGAGAAATTCAGGCCCTGTTTGGTATTTGGGTGACGCTTAAAAGCGCGGTGCTTCAAAGGCACAGATTTTGCAGGATCCAACCCCAGCCAGGGCTACCAGGCAGTCCTGGGTCCCTGAAGTTGGAAATAATCACCAGTGCAAATTAGCACGAGCGACCGAGGCATCCGAGGGCAAACGAACCCGCGCGGCTGCCGCAGGAAGATGCCAACGCGCTATCCCCATCCCAACGCCGGCGGCATCTAAAGGGGATGGACTTTTTTTTTTTTTTTTTGGAGGAGACCTCCACGTTTCTGCGTGGACGTGGTCCCTCAGCCCCCCCCCCCCCCTCTCCGTGCTGCTGCGCAGAGATGGCACCGTGCTCCGGGCACAAGGCTGGGCACCGTCCAGCCCTGCCGCTGCGGGGCTGAGCGCGTTACCTGCCCTCCGAGGCCAAGGGCGAGAAGCAGGAGGCAGGAGTCAGCGGCGGCTCAGCGCTGTTCCCTCGGTCCCCAGCCCCTCGCCTGATCCCTTCGGCAGCAGCGGACACACGTGCCACAGCTGCCTACCCCCTTGCCCCTCTCCCTGCCCTGGTCCCCCGGGGCACCGCGCCGGCGCCAGCCTCGCCGAGGCGGAGGGGGGCCGTGCTGCGCGAGACGCGCTGCCCAGGCCGACCGGGCTGCCCCGTCCCGGCGGGCTCCCGCTCCGCAGGGTGACAAAGCAGAGCGAGGGCAGGGTGCCCCTCGTCACCCTGTTGAGACATTTGATGTGAGAAGGGCAGAAGCTTCGCGGAGGCGAGACTGAAGAAGGTGGGGAAGGATTCCTTAGGGCAGGCGGCACCCAAGCGGGGTGTAAAAGGGGGGTGGCTGACCCCGAGGGAGATGAGGATGAGAGAGGGGAGCGAGAGGACAGCGAGGGCAAAGGCGTAGGGACCCGCCGCGCTGCAAGAGGAGCGCGGGAGGTGAGAGCCTGATGCAGAGGAGGAGATAATGCAGGGCAGGGCAGTCGGAGCGGCAGGGAAGCAAGCCGATCTCGAAGGCGAGTTATTAATAATCTGAATAACGCACTTCAACATCCCAGAATTACACGTCCGGTTATCCGCTCTTTCCAGGCAGGCCGTTAGACCGTTTCCTTACCTAATTCAGGAGAACGCACGGCAGAGCAAATCAAGGTCAGTCACAGCAGGACTGAGGAGCTCCCGGGAGGCCAGGCCCTTCACGAGTCCCACTTCGGGCTGGTTTCTGCCCCTGCGAGAGCATCCCTTCCTTCAGCCAAGCGTGGCGTGAGCCCCCCCGTTCCTCCCCTTCGCCCCCAAAGAGTTAACAAGCCAGCACCAGACGGAGAACCGAGCGCAGCTGCGCGCCTGGCTCAAGGCGAGGGACATATGGTCCTCTTTACCCTCCCAGGCTGGCGCAGCCAGAGCCAAAACCTCGGTGGAGGCTGCTTCGGCGGGGAGCGCCGGGTTACGTGATGGAAGAGGCCGGCCGGCCAGGGCTCCCAGCTCTATAAATAGCTTTGGGAATCGTTGCGTTTGCAAGATGGGCTGGTGGTTCAGCAGGAAAACCCACCCAGTGCACCCAACTTTAGAAAAAAAAAAAAAAACAAAACATAAAAAAACCCCAAACCGAGCTCTTCTTTCTCTGTGCACTTTCAGGGCTGCCCTCTGTCCCGCCTGCCCTGCGAGCGCTCAGGAGCACGGCGGGGTTTGCGAGGGCTGGCTCCACGGGGGAAGGGGAGAGGTCAGCGCTGCACCCCCGAGCCTCTGCTGCACTTTGGGTTTAACACTCACATTTCAACTTGCAGAACTTTCATAAAAATAAACCCACTATTTTTTGCCCTCGACCGGTGCAGAAACACTTCCCACAGAAGAGGCAGACCGGAGCATAAGTGAACTGGTTTCAGGTCCTCAACCAGAAGCCCAGGACTGATCCGTGCCTGGGCAGCACTGGGGCAGGGAGGAGAGAAAAGGGCTGGCTGTTTTTGCTGGCCACCTCTCAACTCCTCTGAAGCAGCAATTAGAGAAGGGCAGCTCGTTAGCCTCGTTTCCCAAGAGAGCAGATTCTCCCATTTCAGCTCGCACAGGTACTTCTCACGCTCCACAGGTCGGTCTGGTTCAGCCCCACTTCCAACGCCCTCGCTCCTTCCACTAGCTTCACTACCTGCGCCTTGCGCAGTAAACACGGAGCTTACCTCCCTCTAATCTCCGTTTGCAGATAAGGCCTCCGCACTTCAGAGTCCCAAACTGCACTTTTTATCTCCCAGCTGTGTAGATTTTTCCAGTAGCCAGCTGCCCCGCATGGCACCTGCGATGTTCCCTCCTCTCTGCTTCCAGCCAGGTCTCACCGGGGAACCCGGCATGGCTGGGTCTGTTTTTTCTGCTAGGCTGCAATCTGGCTCCAGCCCAGCCCACGTTCTATCACCACCCTGACAGTCTTTCAAGTATTTTTTTTTTCCCCCCCCAGGCTTCTCCTTCCTATTATACTGGTGCTTCAGGTTTTATTCCCTACCACTGAGGCTGAAGCGCTGAGCTGGTGAGCTGCTGCAGACCTGGGGGAGTCACCCACTGCTCCCCAGTGTCTTCAGCCCTCTGTAATTAGAGGATGTTAAATCTTCCAGGTTAGTCTGGATTTCTAATGTTAGGCTGGACTCCTGGTACTCCCTTCTCATGCTTGCTTGGCTACTGGGGGCGGGGGGTGCCAGCCCCTGCTCACAGCCTGCAGCAGATGTGGAGCTTTCCATTTTCAGCTATCTCAGTTGCTGAGGAACTGCATCCTATTTCCATCTCCGATCCGGGGGATAATCTCATCCTGCACTATTTTAATCTGCATCCACAAGAACAATCCCCCCCGCTTTGCTCAGGCACAAAACGAAGTGCCGCCACATCCCCCTGTCATTTTGAAAGAGCCAGAAACATCGAACGCTGCTCTTGAGCTGTGTCCAAGAAACACTTAGAAACCTAATTTCAAATTCATCCTAAACACTGCTCTTCATTGAGCTACTTTTAATCTCAGGCAAAGACGACACGTTCTGCACTTGACAGCTCACAAACGGGTCCTGTTGCTCACCAGGATTATCGCTGCAATATTCTGCAGCAGCGATATGGCCAACCAGCAGGGCGCATGAGCCCGTCAGCAGCAATAGTCTGTAATTTCTTTAAGGGAATTGATAATAGACATTTTTTTTTCAAGACTTCAAAACAGAGTATCCATCAAACAACACCTTCCAGCTCCCCGTGAAGGGGCAGCCACCTCTGCTCTGGGAAGGAAAGCCTCCTTGATTGGAGGTTTTGATCCCTCTTGCCAGGGATGTGTGGTGGGATATTCCCGGGGCAAGGCAGGGACCCTGCCGGGGTGCAGGGAGAGAGGAGCAGGAACGGAAAAAGCCAGCGGCGTAATTTCTGCTGGAGCAATGGAGGTCAGGGCAGCAAACCGAACGCTTTTTGACAGGGTTCTCCGGATTTCCAGGAGTGTTTTTATCTGCGCGCGCCGGAGGCACCTTTCCAGGCACCTTGCCGCACGCGCCCTGCGCTCACATCCCCGGCTTCGCCCGATCTGGCGCTGGATTTTATTCCGAGCGGGGCTGGGGAAGCGAGGGGGCTAAGGCAGACGTGGCGATCCGCCCCGTGTTTTGGGAGCTCAGGCCTGCGGCTCGGCAGCCGGCCGGCACTGCTCCCTCCCTCGGCCGAGCGCGGGCTGCCGGGGCTCAGCACCGCTCCCCAGGCCACCAAAACCCGACGAAACGCGTCTCCTGTCAACACCAAACAACAGCGGGTCTGGCCGGCGGCTGCCTTTCGGCAGCCCGCATTTCAGGCGCTGACAGCGCCGGCGCGGATCAAATTAACGCCGGCGCGCTGACAGCTCTGGGGACGGCCGCTCTCCTCGTGGTCCCCAGGGGACTGCGGGGCGGCCAGCCCAGCCTGGAGGGTGACGGATCACCCGGAGGTGAACGGCCGAGGGTCTCGCCTCACCGTCCCGCGGCCGGCCTCAAACTGCAACTTCACAGGAGGGGAACAAGCCCGCTTCCCTCCTCGGCCGTTCGCTTCCAGAACAAAACCTGAAAGTTCGTGTGAAAGTCCGGCTCTCACCGAGCACTCCGAGACACTATCCACCTGTGCACGCCTGGTGTTTTCTGCCCTTCTCTCGTGGGGAATCCTGCAAGGCCACGCGTGCATCACGCGCACAACACACCCGGCTCTTCCTTTCTCAGCCTGGAAAAGGGCTGAGCCTGTCACCCAGGAGCTCTTCAGAGAGGGGGGGGGGGGGGGGAAAAAACTGCAGACCTCTTTGCACAGAAAGGAAACGTGAACGCTTTCAGCGCAATATTATAATGAGCATTTTTGTCTCAAGCTATTAGGAACCGACCAAACACAAGTGAGGGCTTGACACAGGCCTTTCTGGGGCTGCTATGGCCAAGGCTAAGAGAGGAGAAAGGATCAGCCACACTCCAAAGCGACGCAGAGCCCAGCGTGCGCCCCGGCAGACGCAAAGAGAAGTTTCCCTACCTGGCCGCGACGCTCCTGTAGCAATATCCGACTTGTTGCTGCACGCCAGGCTGAAACCTGAAGAGCCAGCACGTAACAAAATATCTGAAGGGCAGATGCGAGGAGCCGGCTACGCCGTGCCGAGCCTGCCGGTGCCGTATCCCCGTAAATAGGGCTCGGGTGGGGGGTGATCTCCCGGCCCAAACCCACCCGTGCTGCATCCCGAGCCTCCCGGGAGAGGTTTTTAAGAAACGGCATTTGAGAGACCCGCTTCCAGCCGCTGCGAAACGCAAAGCCTGCGCTGCCCGGGGCGCGGGATGGAGCAGGTTGAGGAGAGAGAAGCCCATCTTCCACCCCCCCCCCCCCACCCCACGGCCTCGCTGGGTGGGCCTGCGGCACGCTCCCCTCGCCTCGCCCCACGCGTGACCACACAGAGAGGATTTGGGAGCCGGGTCCCGCGGGGAACGAAGGTCGGGGAGGCAGGAGAACGGCTGCCCCCCCCCCCCCGGAGCCTCAGGGCTGCGCTGGCTGCGGGGCGCGGCCACGGGCCTTCGATTCGCACCGGGGCCTGCCCCGGCCTAGCGCCCACCGGACACCCCACCGCCTCACACCTCCCCCCCCAAAACTCTCGGTGCTCACCCCGGGAGACCCACCCCGGGCTGCCGGGGGGCCCGTCGGGCAGCGTGTCCCCCCCCCCCCCCGTGCCCGTACCTGCCGGCCTGGCCGGGCCGGTGCCGCTCCACGGCCGCCCGCCCTCCGCCGCCGCCGGCCCCCTCACGGCGGGGACACGCCCACCCGCCCCGCTCCGCCGAGAAACGGCCCCCGCCATTGGCCAGACCCACCCGCGCGTCCCCGCCTCCCCGCGCACGGCGCTGAGCCTGGTTGGGCGGGAGGGCGAGAGAGCGCTGTGGCTACTCCTCCAGGCCACCGCCACTCCAGCTCCTAGTCCCACCCACTCCGCCGCCGGCTGAGAGCCACCTCCGGATTGGTTAAACTGCAACGGTCGGATTGGTCGGGCGCACGCGTCCCCCACGTGGGGTCAGACGGGCAGGGCGCGGGGGCGGGGACGTGGCGGGGTGGGCGTGGCCGACCGCCCTGTCAATAAGCACGTCGCCCCCGCCCCTCCCTCGCCCCGATGCTGATTGGCGGGCAAAGGGCCCAATGGGAAGGGGCGTCGCAAGACGGTCGCCCCGCCTCACCGTCGCGCTGCTAGAGAGCCGCGGATTGGCGGATTGATGTAAACACACGGAGGGGGCGGGGGATTCCCCGCGACCCGAGCACCGGGGGAGGGGGGGGGGTTGTCACGTGGCCGCCGCGTGGCTCGCGGGGGGTGGGGGGCACCCGGCTCTGCCCCCCAGTGTTGGGGACCCCTGGGGGGGGGCACCCAGCGCAGGGGGACCCAGTGCCGCACCCCTAATTTTGGGGGGCACCTCCGGGGGGGGGGACGACAACGACGACACGGGCACACACGACACCCAACCCTGCACCCCCAAAGTGGGGGGGAGCACCGAGGGGGGGGGACACGACCCGCACCGCCGTACCCCCAATGCTGGGGGACCCAGCGCCTCACCCCTAATTTTGGGGTCCCCGCACAGCCCGGCTTTCCCCGCTGCCCCCCCAGCGCCGCCCCCGAGACCCCCCCCCAGGTCCACCCCATCCCCGGTCCCCCTGTGTGTCCGTCCCCCCCCCCCGCCCGCCCCCCCGCCCCCCCCCCCCCCCGCCGTGACGAGCCCGGGCCGGTCGCCAGGACCGAGCCGGGCGCTGCCCACGGCCACCCGCGCCCCGGTTCCCCCGAGATGCGGGCGGGCGGCGGCGGGGGCTCCGCGCCCCGAAAAGGGGGTCCCCAGCGACCCCCCGCCCCGCTGCCCCTCGACCCCATCGGACGGTGAGTGCCGCAGCCCCGGGAAAGGGGGGGGGGGGGGCGGAATCCCCACAACTCCCGGGGGGTCCTTCGGGGATCCCCACTCCTGGCTGCCAGCCCCTGCGCAGGGTGAGTTTTTTTTGGGGGGGGGGGGGGGTTGTGGGGGGTGCGAGTCTTTCCCAGCCCCGCAGTGCCCCCCGCTCCACTGACACCCCCAAACCCTGCGTTGGGGTATGTTGGGGTACAGCAGGGTGCCCATGGGGAGCCCCGCGGTGAGCCAAAATCTCCTCCCACCCATCGGGGTCATCCCAAACCCCTTACACCCTCCCGGCTGGGATTTTGCTAAAATGGGGGGGGGGGGGGGCGGGTTGTCCCTGTTTTCCCTGACCAAGGGGGTCCCCACATTATGGGGAGGCGAGAAGCCCCCCCTGGCAGGAGGCTCCAGCTGGGGGGGGATATAGCGTTTGGGGGGGGGGGGGGTCAGTCAAGGGGTGCTGCACAGTCCAGGGGCCCCCCCTTGTTTGTACCAGCCTTCAGGTGTACCCCCAGAAGCGCGGGGGTTTACACACGTGTGTGCAACACCCAGAACCCCCTCTCGGGGGGGGGGTCGGATGGCCCTTGGCAAAATCTGGGTGTCTCTGCCACCGCTGTCTGGGATGGCCCTGGGCGTGTCACTTAGCTCTTATGAGGAAAAACACAACCGGCTGGGCTGGGGGGCAGGGGGGAGCACCCCTTGCCCCCCAACCCACCATCTAAACGGTTTTACCGGCCCCGTGGCCACCACGTTCCCATCGATGGCCGGAGCGGTGAGCTATTTCTAACCGTGTGGCCTCACCCGTCGGGAACCTGTTCATCACCAGGTGCCAATTTCGGGGCGACTTGTAGAAATCAGGGGCTGAGGATCAAGGGGACAAACATCACAAGGTGTCCCCAGGCGGCGAGCGGGAGGTCCAGAAGCCGGCCGGGGATGTAAGACGAGCAGGTTGCGCCGCCGAGGTGACAATCCCCTCCCCGGTTGCTGTCAGCCACTTGGGTGACATGAAATGTGGCACCCTGGGGACAAATTACCTCCCCGGGGCGGCTGATGGCTCCTTGTATGGCCGAGGACTGGGTGACAGGATAAAGGGCGACAGGATAAAAATAGCCTGATCCAGCGAGGTGCTGGGCATCCCCCCCCGCCCCCAGCACAAGGGGATGGTGCATCGGGTCTTGCCCCGGTGGGTTTTGGGGCGTGGGAGATGCTGGGAGGGGGGTGTGTGGATCTGGGGGTGCTGTGGGGTGTCTGCTGGCACAGGGAGGGGGCAGGAACGGCCCCGGAGAGGCAGCACGGGGTGTCCCCGGGGCACGGGGACGTTTGTCCTTACTGCCTGCAACGGGGAGACGTCCCCGAGCGCCGGAGCCCGGCGGTTCCCCGCTGCCAGCGTGGGTCCGTCCCACCGCGAGGAGCTTCAGTGGATTTCCAGTTGATCCCCGACCCCCCCCCCCTGCCCTCCAGACCCCCACTGGATCCCCTCCGGGGCTTTTGGGGGGGCGCAGGGCGCCCCGTGTCCCGTGGCAGGGCCTCAGCTGTTGGGGGGGGGTAGCGGTTTGGGGGGGGGGGTCACTTTGGGTCCTGGGACAGACCCGGGCGGTGGTGGAAGCGGGCACGGCTCTGCCCCCAGCTCCATCCCCGGATCCCGGGGTGGGGGGTGTGTTAACGGGCGAGGGCAGCCCCGCAAGGTCAGTGAAGGCCACCGAGTGCCGGCGTTAAGCCCAGGAATGTCACCGACGCGCGGTCACACACCGCCCCGGCCCCCACGGGGAACGGCAAACGCGGCCTCCCTCAGGGGACGGGGACGCGGGGGGGCTGCACGTCCCCCTGCTCCGTCCCCAGCAAGGACACCGGGCTGCACGTCCCCTGCCCGCTCCACGTCCCCCTGCGTTTAACCAGCCCCGGCGCTCGTCCCGCCAGCCCTGCGCCCGTATCTCCCCGCCCGTGCCCACGCGCCCCTCTACACCCCTTCCCCTCCCTCCTTCCCACCCAGCTCGCTGCTGTTTTGGGGCGGATCTGTGCCCGTTTGGGGGCACTGGCGGACAAAGCAGCACCCAGAAGGCCCCGTCTGAATCCCCTTTTGGAGCTGGAGGAGGATATTGGGGAGCCCTTTGGATTGGGAGGGGAGACCTTCACGCTGAGGGGGGGTAGGACCTCCGGCATATCCTGCCTGCGGTCCCTGTTGTGCCCCCCCCCCCCCCCCATCCCCTTGTTAAACGCAGAAGCAGGGAAAAGGGCTTGGGCGGGAGAAGGATGCGGCCCCGGCGCTCAGCGATTTCAAACCCCATCAGCTGCTGGGGATTTTAAGCCTGATGTGGCTGCGGCGGGGGACTGCCAGCTCCCAGCCCTCCCAGTGCCTGGGCTTCCCTGCCCCTGTTCAAGTGTCCCCCTCGTCAGGCTCCGCTGATGAATTAGTAAATTAACCAAGGGACTGTGGGAAAGCGGGGGCTGTGACGTGTCCCTTGTCCCTGGCTCCAGCTGGGATGGGGGGGGGAGAGGGGGCATAAAGGGAAGTTTGGGGGTCCCGTCCCGCCGTGGGAGATGGGGAGGTGGTGGCTCCCCCACGTCCTGGGTAGGACCGGGGGGAAACTCCTCTGTTGGCAGCGGGCTCAACCCTGAAGGATGCTGTGTCCGGCAAAATGGAGGGTTTCTGGGTCAGCTCCTGCTTGAGCTTTGCAGGCAACACAGCCTGAATAAGAGGGGGGTTTTGGGGGGGTTCCCAGCAGAGGAGGGGAGCAGAGCTGCTGCCTCGCTGGGGGCTTTGCTCCCGCATCCCCCCGCACTCTCAGAGGCCAGAAGGACCTGAGCAGGAGCCGGGCAGGAGAAGGGGCCAGGCAGCACACCCCTCTTCTCTCCTCCATTTCATTCCTGCTCCTCGGAGCCCTGGCAAAAGCAAGCGGAGGGCACCCCACGCCGTGCTCCCGCTCCAAAACTGCCTTTTCATCCCGCCCAGCTCCATGCTCTCGTTTTCTTCTGACAGCCCCATTTACAGGCGAGGCTTCACCCGCGTGCTCGCGATCTCGTCGCGCCCCTGCAACCCCGAGTCCATCCCGCCTCCCCCGGCCTCGCCCCGCTTTCCCGCTATTTAAACCGAGCGGCCAAATTCACTCCCACGAGATTTTTTGGAAGCGCGGCACCCAAACTGAGCAGAGCATTTTGAGGCAGGAGATAGGGAGTAGACAAGCAGCCGTGGCAAAAATGGATCTCAAGGGGCCGTCCCGGTGATTCCAAGCCCGGAGCTGCCTGGCTGGGAAGCCGGTCCCCAAAACAGCCAGCTGGGGGGGTGCAGGATCCCGGCTCGGCCGCAGCTCCCCCGGCTCAGAGGCACCATCTGCCGGGAAATGTCCCAGCTCAGCCCGGTGGCTCCAGCGGGGATGGATGTGCCGGCAGAACGTGAACGAAACCCAGTCCCCCAGGCGAGCCCAGCAGCTCCTTCCCTGCAGGACAGCAGTTGCACGGGGCACGTGGCTGCGGAGGGAAGCAGAGTGGGACAGACACTGCCTGAATTCTCCAGCATCCACAACACAACCCCCCCCCCCGTGCCAGACAGACGGACTCGGCTTCGCTGCCACCGCTCAGATCCTTTTTAAGCCGCTTTTAAAACATCTGCTAAGCCCCCGCTTGCAGACAGGACGTGCTTCAAGGGCAAGCGTGCTTTTTGTTTTGTTTTGCTGGGGCAGGAGAAACTGTGCTCCTTTCTACAGCCCTTTTGAGCGTTTCTGCCCGGTGGGGAGGGCAGTTTGTTTTAAGGTCTCTCCCCGCCAGCTGGGGCAGCACGCCTTGGGTGACTGTGGTGGCCCAGAGGATGCGCAAAACTCTCCGAGTTGTAACGCGGCCGTGTGCCTGGGCAGTGGCTCTCCCACTCCTCCGACCCCAGCCCTGGCTCTCACCCCCCTTTTTTTTTTTTTTGGGGGGTGTGACACACATTTCCTACAAGGCTCAACGGCAAACGACTCACCCAGGATGCTTCAGAGGGGAGCGGCAGACCTGCTATGTGTCGTCTGTAGGGGAAAGGCCTGAATTCCCGCTCCCCCCCGTACTGGGCAGAGGGATTGGACATCTGAAGATGTAAAAGCAATTAATTGCATCCAATCCGTTCCCAGGCTGCGGGCTGAGACAACCCACGCCGTCACGCGGCGCGGGGACAGTTGCCAGATACCGATGTGTCAGGAGAAGAGTATGCGGGGCTCTGCAGCCCTGAGCCAGGTCCCCGAGTTCACAGCCTAAAGGACTATTAATACCCGTCAGCTCAGGCAGCCTGGAGTGGGACCAGATCGGATGGAAAACACAGACTTTGGGCAAGGCCTGACAATATGATGGGGCTGGGAGAGCAGCTGGGAGCCAGACAGTTCTGTCAAGTAGCCAAAAACCTGCCCGAGTGAAGCCTTTCGCGTAAGGAGACGCTGGCTGCATCGGCTCCTTCCTGCCTCCAGGATTTGCATCTCTTCCACAAGATGTAGCCAGCTCCCTGCACTCCACGTGTGCCTGCTCCCCAGCAGCGACTGTCCCGGCTCGAGGCTTCGCTGACCGCCTGATCTGAAAGTGGATTGCAGGTCTGGAAAATCATCTCTTCTCGCTTCCTGGCTACACCCCAAGAGTCTTCTCCCCGCACCCCCATGTGAAGTAAAGGCTGCTTTGTGGTGGGCTTCAGGGCCGGTGCTGGAGAAGGGGCTCAGGCTCCTGCCGCTGCGGCCCCGTCTCTCCTGCGTGCTGAGCTGAGCTCTCCGGTATCTCCTGGAGTTGTCCTGGCAGCAGGTTTTTGTGCTTTGGTCACGTATAGATCTCTGCTGGGGACTTGCTCTTATCTTGACCCATGTCGTGGTTTAGGCCTGATTGGCAGCCAACCACAATGCAGCACCTCTCTCTCCCTTCCCCTCCGGCAATGAGAAGGGACAGAGAGCCAGGCTTGGGGTTCGAGATAGGACTGGGATGGGGGAAAATCCCCCTTTATGATCATGAGCAAAAGGCAGACTCGTTAGGGGAAGAAAAAAAG